AACCTAACGCTAAACGTAACCCTTACCTTTATGTGAATCGGCTTGCTTTAATTTTATTTTAATTTCAATTTAATTTATTTTTATTTTTTTTTCGTCGCGCTGCTGATGACGTCAGATACACGCTTTCATCGAGCACGGTTTTGTCTACCGCGGTTTTGACGGGTCACGCTGCGGAACAAGGGGACAATCCAACAATTCATTTTACCGGTAGTCCTTGACTTAACAACAATTCATTTAGTGACTGTTCAACGCTACAACAGCACTGAAAAAAAAGTCACTTAGGACCATTTTTCACACTTACGACCATTAACAGCATCCCCATCCCGTGATCAAAATTCAGACACTCGGCCACCAACTCGTATTTACGACGGTTGCAGGGTCCCATGGTTATGTCCTCATCTTTTGTGACCTACTGATCAGCAAAGTCAAGGACGGGAAGCCATATTCACTTAACAACCATGTTACTAATCTAATAATTGTGGCGATTCATTTAACAACTATGTCAAAATAGGTCATACAATGGGGCAAAGTTCACTGAGGAAATGTCTCACGCAGCAACAAAAACCTGGGGCTCTATTGCAGTCCTCCGACGAGAACTACTTGTGATTATTTAAAATTTAAAAATATATTTTAATTTTGGCCATTCATGTTTCATGTTGTCCCTTCTTCTACACCCTTTCTTTAGCGATTCTGTTTCATCGTTTCTTCAATAGGAGCGTAACTCGCGTACTGCAACGAGTTGGCCATGGCGAGTTGGCCTTAGTAAGTTAGCTGTGGCAAGTTGTCCTAAACCAGGGGTGTCGAGGCCCCCCAGAGGTGGTATTCAGCAGGTGCTGACCAGTTCTGGAGAACCATTAGCGGAAATTTTGAGTAGTTCTGAGAACCGGTAAATACCACCTCTGGCTGGCCTCGCCCCCATCTATTCTTTGCCTCCTGAGTCCCAGGTGATCGGGAGGAAATGGGGATTTTGCAGTAACCTTCCCCTGGAGTTGGGTGGGAATGGAGATTTTACAGTTGGCCACGCCCACCCAGTCAGCCACATCTCCCCACCCTCCAAGGTCAACCACAACCCTGATGCCGCCTTCAATGAAATCAAATTTGACACACCTGTCCTAAGACCCGCTCTGGTGAGACATACTTTTAACCACTCTACAAGCAACTTCCAATCCATATTCTTTCCTTCGCTCTTCTCTGCCCTGCTTACAACGCTGAGATAATTTCCAGGGCATTGGACGTCATTATTCCAGGTGTCGGGCTGCTGCTTCCTCTGATCGTTAAGTTTCTACCTCTCGGGCCAATCAATTTCACCCCGTCGCGAAGATGAACCTGTCAGGTAGCTGTTAAAATTGATGGATGGCTTGGGCCGGCTGGCTGGCAGGCTGAAAATATTTATAGGTTTCCCCCTCCCCTCCACCTCGCTCCACCTCCCCGCGCTTTCGAGATCATCTGGTGACGGGTTGCAAACCATAAGAACAATCTGGCGAGGTAAACATCTCTCAGCCGCAGTCCGGTAACCCCGAGAGACACGTTCTGAGGGACAGAAGAGACACGTGGACACTCTGTCCCAGATACCAGAATGCAAAAGCCGGGCGTTGAAAGGCAGACGAATGTCATGCTTGATATTCCTTGACATCCAAAGAAAGGACATTTCTCACCAAGCCAGAAGCTCAACGCATTGCTTGTGGAGATACCTTTTTTTAAAAATATACTTTTTTATTTTCCTTTTCCATAATCACATGTATACTATTACATAGCCAATATCCTATTGTATTAAGTAGTAATTCCATCAGTTCCTCTTGCCATTAACGCCCANGATAGGTGAAACATGGGAGAATCTAGGTACACCCAGTATCGCTCGCCCGGCTGCATTCTGGACCAATTGTAGTCTCCGAACACTTTTCAAGGGCAGCCCCATGTAGAGTGAACTGAGGTCCATTATATTTGGAAATGCTTCCTTGTAGGTAGTAATAACCCAAGCCTTACATCAGGGGTATCAAACTCAAGGCAGAGGGTTGCAGGAGGCTGTCGCAGCCAAAAACGGTGCTCGGGAACTCATTTTAACTGACAGAAAGCTTGGGCCACCACAGGCGCTCCCAACATGAGTGACGTTAAGCTGGCCATGCCCACCCCAGTCCCCCGAAGTCAAACACAACCCTGATGCGGCCTTCAACGAATTCGAGTTTGACACCCTTGCCTTACATTTTAGGTACGTATAACCATCTTCAAGGGGGCGATATAATGTTGATTAATACTGTGTCTTTTTGGATAGATGTCTGAATTATTAGATCAGTGTCTCTCAACCTTGGAAATTTTAAGAGGTCTGGACTTCGACCTCCAGTATCCCCCCAGCTGGAATTGCTAGCTGGAGGAATTCTGGGAGCCGAAATCTGCACCTCTTAAAAGTTGCTAAAATTGAGAAGCACTGCTATACGTTCTGTACACCGCTCATATTTGTGAAAATGTCTACTCTCCTTTTATCAACAGTGCAAGTTCCTAATCAATAAGGAACATTCTGAAATCCGTTCTACATTTTAGGACAGGCGTGCGTGTTTTACCCTTGTTATCCCGCACAGTGACGTTTGGTTCTCTGATCGTGGATGGGGAACGGATGATGATACGGCTTGTGTTACCATCCTCGTCTCGGTCGACCGCTCGGATCAGCTGCACCAGCTGGCCAAAACAGAAAAGAGCAACATTCTTCTCAGCCAGGGCCTTCCTCTCCCGCCCCACTCTGCCCCATCAGTGTCCTAGGGACCCCTTACTTACTTGGCCCGGGATGGCATTATCACAAGCAAAAGGCTCGTAGCTCTGTTCCAGCTGGGGTGAGTTATCGTTGACATCCAAGATTTGAACGGCCACATGAATCTGAGAATCTTGTGTGGGACTGTCTGAGGGTAAGAGTCGGGGGTAAGGAGCAACATGGAACCACGCGACGGGACATGCAGGGCGATCCAGTCGAAAAACGGGGAAGGCGGGAAGATAACACCAACAAGGTCCCAACGAGTAAGTCGGCCGATAAGGATACGCCATCCAAACGATTCAGCCATGCGAGAAAGCCATACAAGTCATCCATGGGGAGACAGTGGGGTTGGATCCCATTCATAACACACGCACACACCGAAAGAGTCCATCGTCGTACATCGTCGGCAGAACCAGACAGGCAAGTATCACGTCAAGAGGTTGAAAGATGTGGGCAGACGTGCAGAGTTAAGCGGACGGAAGCGAGCAACGGTGCACGATGAAGCACATTTGCGCATGGGTGGGCGAACATAAAGGTCCAACGTGACCAACAAGTGAAATCACAGGCCGCCAATACAAAACCATCCAGCCGACATAGGCAATCAATCAATCAATCAATCACAGGGAAACCCATGCAGAAAGCGCAGACCCCCTCCACAATGTCAGAGTGCAAAAAATGCACCGTTTCGCACATTCAACACACAAGACAAAAACAGAGAGCAAGACACCGTTCCAAAGAGCAGAAAACAGATAAGGTCATGCAGAAAGGGAGAAGGAAAAAAAAGGGAGAAGAAAATTAATAAACAATTGCCATTACTCTTTCTATTACATATAAGTCCTCAACGTACGATTACGTTTAGAGCCAAAATTTCCATCGCGAAGCAAGGCGCCTCCCCGATTTTACAACCTTTTTTTGCCACAACGGTTAAGCAAATCACTGCCGTTAGTAAGTGAATGGTGTGGTCGTTAAGCAGATCCAGTTTCCCTCGCTGATTTTATTTGTTGGAAGTCAGCTGGGAAGAGGACCGCTTGACCTCGGGATGCTGCAACTGTTGTACATACACAACCAGTTGCGAAGCGCTTGGATTTCGATCAGATGATCGTGGAAAATGCTGTGACGGTTGTAAGTCTGAGGACTGTTCGTAAGTCACTTTCCCCCCCTGCTTTGCCAATTTTGAGCAGTCACTAAACAAATGGTTGCAAGTCGAGGACTACAGGTAATCCTCGACTTATGACCACACTAGAGTCCCAAATTTAATTGTTAATTTGTTAAGTGAATTTTGCCCCATGATAGAACTTGACTTGTGACATTGGTTAAGTGAATCGCTGCGGTTGTTAAACTAGTCACATGGCTGTTAAGTGAATCTGGACTCCCCCGTTGACTTTGTCAGAAGGTCGCAGAAAGGGAATCACCTGCGACCGTCATAACTATGAACCAAGCATATAAATTACATGCTGCAATGGTCATTAAGTATGAAAAATGGTGCTAAGTCACTTTTATAACTTCAAACGGTCACTGAATGAACTGTTGCAAGCAGTGGTGGTCGCTTCAAAAACAGGTATGGAACGTGGGCAGGCGGGTGGGCCAAACGAGCCACCGTACCGGTACGGTGGCCGCTGCTCCCGAGTGCTACTGGTACGACCGTACCGGGCCATACCGGTTGAAACCCACCACTGGTTGCAAGTATGCTTTATATCAGGGGTGTCAAACTGGATTTCTTCCTGGGCCAGATCAACATTGTAGTTGTCCTCCCTAGGGATGGCTGGGGGGGGGGGGCAGATGGCCGGAGAGACAGACGCTTCCTTCAGCACTTTGACAGCCAAAACGGGACACGTGGGAGCTGCATGCAGCTCCTGTTTTTGCTGGCAGAGTGCTGCAGAAGGCCGTCCAGGCTGAAAACAGGGCGTGTGGGGGCTGTGTGCTCTCCTCGCATCCCCTTTTCACTAGCAGAGGCACCGTGGGCTGGTCCTTTGTTATTTTCAGGGGCCAGATCTAAGCATCCCATGGGCCAGATTCGGCCCACAGCAGGGGTGGGTTTCAACCAGTTTGCGGCGGTCCCTGCGAACCGGTTGGTCGGCGAACCCGGAAGTAAGTAACTTCCGGGAACGGCAAAGGGCGCGCCCACCTGCCTGCGGTCCTTACCCGGTTTTGACGAGTTCTGCGCTTCCACGCATGCGCAGGACGCATACAGCGCCTGCGCGATCCTCCAGGAGCAGCTGGAGCGTCGCGCAGACGCTAGTACGCATGCGTGCACCGCGCACGTGCACGAGGACGCCGCCGGCCCCGTTCCAACCGAACCGGTTGGAACGGGGCGAGAAACCCACCCCTGGCCCACAGGCTTTGAGTTTGATACCCCTGCTTTATATGTTCTATTGCAAACATAGACTTTTTTTGTATCGGTACTGTCCTGATGTATCAAAATACTACCAAATGCTACTACAGGTTTGCAACGAAAAGCTTCCACCATGTTGGAGCCTCCTGGACTCCCACCCACCATATCGACTTGGCTCTTACCAAGTTCCGTTGCCAGTACGGTCATGTTGTGCCAGGCGAAAACCTCTCGGTCGAGTGGCACGGAGGTCAGAATCGCGCCATCCTGTGGGTTGATGCTGAAATAGCGCTCAGGGTCCGTATGCTGCAGGATGGAGTATCTGGAAGATGGAGGGTGGGCACCTGGGGTATCAGGTTGTCACGGCAACGAAGTATAAATGGAGTAACTGAAACTTCACACACACACACAAAGACAACAAACACCACTTTCCCACCCTGCAGTATCGGTGTTCTCCCCAGCCATTACCGGATGACACTGCTGGGCGTATCCAGGTCCACCGCCGTGACTTTGCCCACTGGCGTCCCTGGTGGGCCGTTTTCATAAACAGCCAGATGATACTCGGGACGGGAGAAAACCGGAGGTTCGTCAGCATCTTCTACCGTCACGCGGACAGTGGCCACATCCTTGAAGGGGCCCTTCCGGATGTACTGAGGGTCGATCTGCGTGTTGGTGGCCTCGACTCGGAAGGTGTAAGAGTGGCGGGACTCGAAATCCAGAGGCTGCCCCGCCCGTCCAAACAGAGAGGAACGACAATGAGAAGAAAAACTCATGATTGGAAGTGAGCAAAGGGCAGGCGGTTCAACAAGTTTGGCAGAGGACGTGCAAATCGCCAAGAACGGTTGGGGCGGTATCTAATATCCCAGGTCGTCTGAAGAAAACGAGGGCCAGTTTGATCTAGTGGTGAAAGCGCCAAACTAGAAAGCAGGAGATGGTGAGTTCTAGTCCCGGTTTAGGCATGAAAGATGGCTGGGGGGGACTTTGGGCCAATCACCAGAAAACAGTGAGTTCTAGTCCCACCTTGGGCATGAAAGCCAGCTGGGAGACTTTGGGTCAATCACTTTTCTCAGCTCAACCCACCTCAGGGTTGTGAAGAAAAGAGGAGGAAGAGGAAGATCTGATGGCCATTTTTGCTGCCTTGAGTTATTCATAAAAATACAAGTAGTCTTATGATAACAGTTGAGGAAGGAAAGAAAGAGAAAAAAGAAGGAAGGGAGGGAGAGAGAGAAAGAGAGAGAAAAGGAAGGAAGGACAGGAGGAAGGAAGGAAAGAAAGAAAAGAGAGAAAAAAGAGAAAGAAAGAAGGAAGAAAAAGAGAAAGAAAAGAAAGTAAAGAAAGAAAGGAAAGAAGAAGAAAGGAAGGACAGGAGGGAGGAAGGAAGGAAGGAAGGAAAGAGAAAAAGAAAGAAAGAGAAAAAGAAAGAAAAAGAACAATAAAGAAAGAGAAAGAGAAAAAGAAAGAAAGAAAAAGAAGAAAAGGAAAGAAAGAAAGAAATAGAAAGAAAAAAGAAAGAAAGAAAGAGAAAAAGAAAAAGAAAGAGAAAGAAAGAGAAAGAAGGAAAGAAAGAAAGAGAAAAAGAAAGAAAGAGAAAGAAGAAAGGAAGGAAAGGAAGAAATAGAAAGAAAAAAGAAAGAGAAGGAAGAGAAAAAGAAAAAGAAAGAGAAAGAAAGAGAAAGATGGAAAGAAAGAAAGAGAAAAAGAAAGAAAGAGAAAGAAGAAAGGAAGGAAAGGAAGAAATAGAAAGAAAAAAGAAAGAGAAGGAAGGAAGGACATGAGGAAGAAAGAAAGAGAAAGAAAGAGAAAGAAGGTAAGAAAGAAAGAGAAAAAGAAAGAAAGAGAAAGAAGAAAGGAAGGAAAGGAAGAAATAGAAAGAAAAAAGAAAGAGAAGGAAGGAAGGACATGAGGAAGAAAGAAAGAGAAAGAAGAAAGGAAGGAAAGGAAGAAATAGAAAGAAAAAAGAAA